CTTGTTGCTTTTAAGAAACTCTGTCATTTATAAAAACTTGGCTTTACTCAATTATTTTTACACTGACCCTGTCTTCTCTCAGGCTATGACTAAGAGGGAGGAGTTGGTAGTGGCTCCTGCTGGTGTTACACTAAAAGAAGCCAATGATATTCTGCAGCGCAGCAAAAAAGGTGAATTAAAGAAAAAGTATTTGTGTAATAGATGTTGGACTTCTTTTTGGTTATTGTATTTTAATAGCCCGACTTGAACTTTCTGTGTAACCAGGCAAGCTTCCCATTGTAAATGATAACGATGAACTGGTGGCCATTATTGCCAGAACGGATCTAAAGAAGAACCGGGAGTACCCCCTCGCCTCCAAAGACTCACGCAAACAGCTTCTCTGTGGTGCTGCTATCGGAACCAGGGAGGACGACAAATACAGACTGGACCTGCTGGTGCAAGCTGGAGTTGATGTCGTTGTACTGGTTGGTGCTTTTTTTTAAAAAGTTAGATTGTGGTTGGTGCTTTAATAATGATCGGTCACATCACAGATACTTGGATGTATTGTAGAGAAGATAAATCTTTATTGTCATTACACAGTCATAAAAACTGTCCCCCATCGGCACTACTTAGAAGATTCATTTCAAATTTTAGAGCAGCTTGTAGCTAAATGGCAGCCACTGTCAGTCACATGGCTAATTTCTATAATTTTCTCTTTAAGAAATATTTCAGATTATATTTTAATAGTTTTGGAAAATATTTTAAGGTTTTGTTTTTTTTTTCTTACATTATTGTATAGCTAAAACATATTCATAAAAAACGGTACTATAAACAGCGCAATAAGACATCTAAATAATTAGCCTTGAAAAGAAAAAAAAAACTACTGTAGTAAACTTAAAAAACTGATTTTTTTTTTTAATTGGAGGTACTAACATTAAGTATTAAAACAGGGCACTTACATTGAAAGGGATTGAACTGGTCATTGACTGCATTTTAAAACTGACACTACAGAGTGCTACACAGAAATTGAGATGCAATATGAGATTATGGGGTTTTATTTTAACATTGACATCAATTTTAAAGTGCTAAGGGGTCTGTCGGTGATTCTAGTGTTAAATGGCGACAGGATATGAAACCTGTGACATGTTGATGAGAAACTGTCAGACTCTGTGTAGAACACTCTACTGGAACTAAACACAACTAAATGGAATGGGTACCACCTTGTGGTGAGATTCACTGTTGCAGGTAAATTACAAACTGATGTTATAGCCCAAATCATACTTCCTGTTGCTGTGTTTTGTTTTAAAATTGTAGCTTAAATGTTAATTTTTACTGAGGAGGACTGAGAATTCTCAAGGAGATATGTGACTAAGTCCACAAATAAATCCATGGATTACATCAGACCTTCCCAAAGTGGGGGGCGCAGAGCCATTGTAGGGGGGGTGCGGTGTGAAAAGGGGGGGACAACAATGCTTGGACACTGCTAGCACGGGGCACCTACACAAACGCAAAGCAGGAGATGAAGCATAGCTATATACATATAGCATAATGTTTCCAAACCAACTTAATTCTAAGCCAAAGGCTAGAAAATATGGTGAACCATATCTTCCCTTTGGCTTCACCTGCACAAGTGCCAAGGTAGGTCTCCCCTGCAGAATTGGTTTTCCCTTCGTCGGAAGCACGCGTTGGGCTCTTCAAATTACACAGTATCCCACATTCTTGATTTTTAGTTCACAAACACTTGTTGTAATGACTAACTACTCCTGACATTTTGGAGATGTTAGGTCTTTATACAGTAAAGTTACAGTGGGATACAAATAATATCAGGCTCATCCTGCCACAATTTGTTCCCCCTGTCTAAATCACGGACAAACAGTATCCCACAGCTGTTTATGTTTTTAAACCCATTTTTTGAAAAATGTATTAATAGCTATGTTGAATATTATTACACAGGATAAAAAAACAACCACATGTAAAATAATTACACCGTGATGCCTCTGCCTTTCTAAATAGAGGGACAGTAACTGCGTGTCTATATGTAAGCGTGTAAAACCTGAAGATCGGTCAGATTAACAGTATTTTGTCTCGATCTCCCATTCTACAATTCATCTCAAGTAAACAATAACGTGGCGCGCAGCGTGATGTGAAAAAGGCACAAACCTTTGACAAACTCTGTATTTCTCGTCCACACAAACGCAAAACGGGAGTTTTCGGTGATTCGAAAAATGGGGGAGGGGGCGTGAACATTTTTCTTGTAAAACAAAGGGGGGCCTAGCAAAACAAGTTTGGGATCCAATGGATTACATAATCTAACTGCTTTAATAAATCATGACATTGAGAATGAGTCATCAAATTCAAAGACTGAACCTGTTGGTATTGTTTCTACTTGTATTCAATTGTCTGTTTTGACTTATTAGGTGTTACTGTATTTTATGGTCTAAACTTATTCTGTTTAATCCATAAATATTTTTTTATATGTTTTTTTAAAATTATTTATTTTTAGGACTCGTCGCAAGGCAACTCGGTGTATCAGATCAACATGATAAACTATATTAAGCAGAAGTATCAAGAATTACAAGTGGTGGGAGGAAATGGTGAGTCTGTTGGTGTGGGGAGTGAGTATTATATGGCTGTCCCTTTATGAACAGTAACATAAATGACAACAAAATAAACAGATAAATTTTTTTGCACACATTTCTTGACGGTTTTCACTTTTCCACCTTTCCTACAGTGGTCACAGCAGCCCAGGCCAAAAATCTGATTGATGCCGGCGTGGATGCTCTGAGAGTCGGCATGGGCTGCGGCTCCATCTGCATCACACAAGAAGGTATTCAGTGTGGAAACCGTGATATGATGATAGAACTTAAGTGTAGTGATAATTATTTATAAAAAATTATGCCGATCCTTTTTCCGGCAATGAGCTATGCTAAGATGAAAAGGCCATCAGTTGCTAGTGGAAACGAATACCCTGAGACCACTCCTAGTTGTCATGGTGATTTGCCGAGGCCTCTGTTCTGTGTTGCCATGGGGACCGGTCTCATGTTCAGACTAGGTCATGTTTATACCGAAACAAACAAACAGAAACAGTGTTTTTAAAACATCATGGCAGTCACGTTGGATGTGTTTTATACTTTCTAGTCATGGCATGTGGACGACCCCAGGGGACCTCTGTGTACAAGGTGGCAGAGTATGCTAGGCGTTTCGGTGTGCCAGTCATCGCTGACGGTGGCATTCAAACTGTGGGCCATGTGGTGAAGGCTTTAGCTCTTGGTGCATCAACTGGTGAGGTTTAAGAGATGGCGGCGTGCAGTTTGTTCAAGCTAATATTTCCATTTAGAAATGTCAAAATTTCTATGCAGTGGAGCTGTCTTTCACAAAAAATTTGCTTTTATTCCAGTTATGATGGGCTCCTTGCTAGCAGCCACAACTGAGGCTCCTGGAGAGTACTTCTTTGCAGACGGTGTGCGACTGAAAAAGTATCGTGGTATGGGCTCCCTGGATGCAATGGAGAAAAGCACGAGCAGTCAGAAACGCTATTTTAGGTATGTGTGAGGTTATTAAAAGCTACAGCTATTGTAATATTGTGAACCACTGGGATGTATATGAATTTGGTGATATGTTGTCCACAGTGAGGGTGACAAAGTGAAAGTAGCCCAGGGTGTGTCGGGCTCAGTCCAGGACAAGGGTTCCATTCACAAGTTTGTACCATACCTGATAGCAGGAATCCAACATGGGTGCCAAGATATTGGGGCAAAGAGTCTTTCCGTCCTTCGGTGAGTTGTGTGTGTGTGTGTGTGCGTGCGTGCGCGCGCGTGTGTGTAAGGTTATGAGATGCTTTTATAAGCAGTATGTATGATGGTGCTTGTATGTTTTATACAGTTCCATGATGTACTCTGGAGAGCTGAAGTTTGAGAAGCGCACCTTATCTGCACAGGTGGAGGGTGGTGTTCATGGTCTCCACTCGTAAGTACAAAAACCCACAAAATAATGTCTTTTTTTTTTTTTGTCGTATTTTAGCTACTTGATATAAACACTGTAGAGTGTAGACTGTATATAAAAGATGGGCAGCCGTTTCTTAATCTTTCTACTTTCTAAAGAGCAGCAAACAGAAAAAATTCATAGAGTAACAGTCGATAAGAAACTGTGCTGCTGCTTGCCTGATGTTACCTCAGAAAAGATGAGTTTCATTTTGTAATATGTGAGCCCATTGAGAGAAATGGAGGGTAAAGCATGATACGCGGTAGCACAGACAGTGTCCATGCATCCTTTCATGAACTAGCTGATTTGGTGTTTCTTTGCCTCCACAGATTTGAGAAGAGGCTTTACTGAACAGGGGTGTGATATGTGAATCACCCAGTGCACAGGACCTCCCCAATCTTACAGTGACCAAATGTTATATCGCTACTTCTGCTAGAACACATGCCGCCAACTACACCCCCTCTGCAGCATCATATTCACTGTTGCTCTTTCTGATCTTACCCGGCTGGTCTAGAGGGAGGGGGGAAAAGAAGGGGGAGGGGAGGCATCGCAGCGAAGTGTGAATTTTCAAACTGACACCTAACTCTCTGAACACCTTGGATTTTGCACTTAAGAAGCAGAGCATCAGGGTCTTTGGAAAAACACACACACCTGTATCACAGCTATACAGCCCGATCCCAGTTATATGTGCGTGTCGATGGCAGTGAGAGAACAAAGTGGTTGAATTAAGAGTAGTGTGCTTGAATGTGTGATATAGTTTTGTGTATGTGTGTGGGGACAGACAAAGTGAAGGTGCACTATGTTTATTTGTCCTGTTTCTGTTAGTGAGCTGACAACAGTCATTGTGCGCAGGTCCCATCAGCATCCTTTTTTTGTCTTTATTTCTTTTTTCCCCCTGATGTTTACCTGCGAGTTGCCTCAAACATCCCATTTTGGAACCAGAATAATACACGTGTGCAGACAACAAGAGAAACACCTGCTCTATTTGTGCAGCGTGGCGGTCGATCACGGCAAACATCATTACAGGTATGCGCTGCACGAAGAGTAGCCGCTTATAGTTGAGCATTCACTCGGTGTATCGTGCAGTCAGAAATACACGGCCATGGTAGTCATCTGGTCAAGTTTGTCTCCTCCAGTGTCAACAGTAGATGGAGGTCAGACCTGCAACCTTTTTATCTTTGTGAATATTCATTTACCCCTTAGACATACTGAGCCGAATAACCAGTGTCCCATCTCGATGTGCAGTGTTCATGTGTTGAGCAATGAGAGGACCAAAATCCGAAGATCAGGTATATTTAAAGGAAAAAAAACAATAAAAATGTGTCAATCAAAAATAGTTGATGAGAGTTTCTTTGCCCGTACTTTGAATACTTTTAGATATATTAAAAACAACAAAAGCTTTATATTAAACCTGTATAGTCTCGGGGAGGGGGGCTTTGAAATGAGCATGAAGGGTTTTTGATATGCATGTTTTTTTTCACTAAGCCAACCGTGGCTGTATTTATATTCTGCGTTAATTGCATACATACTGCCAAGTGTATTTACACTTCGTTTGACACTTCTTTTATAAGTTAAAAACCAAAATTGGTGCAACAAGTTGCTTCTCGCTTGTTTGTTCCTGCTCTTTTCACGTCGTGGCATAGTTTCTCGGAGTTTGTCATCTGATTCTTAAAGTGTCTTTTCACTGGAGATATGCCTTGAAACGGGGGTGGGTAACAGCTGTAAGACGGCTATGTGAAAATGCATTGAAATGCATAATGTTACAGACCTTCTTGACTCCATTTCTTGCTTTGAAACAGTCTCATTGTTTGTTTTTTATCGTTAAGCTTATGTAGGAGTAGGTTTATTTTCTAACATTTTCATACAAAATTATGTTTTTGTTTTTTGTGGCCCAGAGTGTAAGCAAGAATTGTTTTCCTAACTGGCTAATGTATTACACCCTGCGCAGGGTTCACTTGACTAACATGATCTTGCAGCTGGGCTGAATTGCAAAAAGTACATGAAAATATATGGAGACTTGTATACCTGTAGTTGGAAATGACTACTGCTTGTTTTCAGTTTCCCCACCTAAAGTTGTAATTCAGGTTTTTAAAACGTCTTAAGTTGTCAAGTACAGAGTCCTGTTGGTCCATCTAAAAAGGCACAAATACAGTTATTGGAAGTGTTTTTTTGTTTTTGTTTTTTTTTGCCTTATCAGCCTCACAAGCGTTGCCAAAACACAGCAGTTGCTTATGCAACTTGCAATCTAAATGACAAGAAAACTCAAATTTAATTTTTTTTTTTTTTTTTTTAGATGGACTAAAAAGGCTTTGTATGTAGTAAATCTTTTAGGGGAATTTGAGGACTGTTGTGTCAGAACATGTTTACAGTAAAACACTCGACAGAGGAACGTTGCTTTTGCTGTTCATCAAAGTAAAAAGAATAAATGAATAAAACCATGTATGGGCTGTTGTCTTTTTGTATGAACCAAGTCATTTGTTTCAAGATAGAAAAGAAGCAAACTTACTATAAAAACAAATCTTTATTAAACAATATGTTGACAAAGTTATAGATGAACATAAATAAGTTAGTAAGCTGGTCATTAATATGCTGTCTGGATTGTTTATATAGAAGCATGTGACAAATAGCTTGTGCTTAATACCAGTAGAGGGCACTGCTGCATCATAACTGCAAATGCGTAGCTTAGTGGTATGTTTGTTTTTTTTAAGCTTGAAATACTTGACTCCCATTAATTTGACATGAGAATTGATGATTTTGTAGAACTGGAAGGAGTCTGACTTCAGTAGTATTTAATAAGTGCTTATTTCACTCACAGTACTATCTATTGGAATGTTGGAATGCGATAAAATTATTTGTACAAATCAGTTCTTGTTAGATCACAACTCACTAAACGACTGTATCAAATGTCACTTGCGTTTATCAAACATGTAAAAGTTACAAATTACCATTTGGCTTTTGACATTCTTGGCACTTAGACCCTTTTATCTTTTTACCACATAACAAAGCCTTTCAAAAACTATATTTTGGCAGCTGTAGCTCTTCCATAGTGTATACACCGCTAACCATGCACTATCAATTTGTAAAACTCCTGGACAGTCAGCTTGCTGCACATAGTAGTCACCCTAAAGTCCTCGGTATAACCCTCATTTGACCAGACTACTTCATAAATCAATAGTCTCACTGCAGATGCTCAAAGCGTCGATTTGTCTGCAAACACTGATGAATTCCTCCTGGACAGATCGGTCTGCCTCTGTCGACATGTCTAGGTCCAGGCTCTCTTGTGAGGCTGCTCCCAATGTGTGATAGTGCCTCTGCAGGTCTGCATGGCCCTGGTGGCCAGAGGATGCCACGTTACCCGTGCCGCCTTGTTGGAGAAGCTGTCGTGCATGTCTCTCTGGGCTTGCGCAGAGGACCAGCGAGCTTCCAAGAGAGGTTCGGTAGAGGGAAGAAGAGGAAGAGCTTCCCCTCCATCGTTCAGGTGATGAACAGCTGGAAGAAGAGCTCAGGGAGGGAGATGGCGGAGCACCTTCAACACCATTACCCTCAGATTCGGGTGGCTGGGGTTGAGAGGCTATCGCCACGCAGGAGGAGGTCCGATAAAGGCCAGCGTCGGCAGAGACGGGATCACAGAGTCCGTTGCTGGGAAGTGTCCAGTGCTTGTTTACTGATTGGTCACTGCACTGAAAAGGCCTAGCAGGGCTGAAGAGGCTCATGGGAAACAAGGCCTCACTGAAGAGCGCCTCATCTATGCTGCGACGTAGGTTGATGGGTGAAGGTGGACGTAGGTCTGCGGTGGAGTCACTGGTGAATGAAGATGCACCTGAAGGCTCTCTGCCACCTGTATCTTCAGGTTTTTCTGAACCCTGTAAATCCATGTCCAGATCTCGGTAAGCCAAAGCCCGGTTACTGTGGTAGAGGAGGTCCAGGCCATTCAGACTGCTGCCAAGTCTTTCGTCCACCAGAGTGTAAAGCGGGAGACTCTCAGTCTCTCCAAGTCCAATAGTGTCAACAATAGCTAGCTTCTCTTGCTGACTCAGGGTCCATTGGTAGCTTCCAGGCAGGATGGGTGACTTGGATGCCAACAGTTCGGTCCAACAACTTCCAGCAGTTGGAAGGTGGTCAGAACAATAAACTGGCTGTGCAACCACTAAGGCTAAGGTGAGACAAACCCCGAGCTCACAGAGTCTGCAGCTAAACTGGAACGCCCACCACGGCCAAGGATGGAAGACCTCCGCTCCACCCACAACACCCATTGCATTGAGCATTGCGTATAACTGAAGTCCTGCACATGCCAATGAAAACAATGCTGAAAGACACACCGTTGCAGCAGCACGATCCCACTCCCTGCTTTCAGCAAAAGGGCAGCGGTTGTAGCGCTCAGCAGGCGTTGGAGATGTGTTATTCAGGTGATAGATGTGCTTTGAGTCTGCCCGCACGTAGATATAGAACACAAAATAGGCAGCTGACAGAAAAGTTGCCAGTGCCACAAAGGTTCCACGGGAGATGAGTGACAGAAAGAGGCACAGAGGAGGCTTTTGCTGGTAGAACTTCAGAAATGTAACTGGACCGAACGCAGCGGCAAAATGCAGGACAACCAGGCAGGCCAGGAAACAGGGTCTCTGAAAGGCCGAGTAGGAAAGCTGCATCCGTGAGCGCATGGACAGGAGAAGGAAAACCAGACCAAAAGCTGCAGTGAGGCAGGGAAACGGTGCTTCGTAGAGCATCAGTGAGGCCTCTGTGGAGGGTAGGCGGTCCTCGTGGCCATAGGCATCATACAGGAGTGAGAAGGACCTGGTACAACCAGCAGCTAATAGGAACAGGCTAACCAGAGCAAAGTAGCCACAACCAGTTGGGCATCGCAGTGGTAAGCAGAGCAGATTCAGCGCTGAGGCAATCGTCAGCATCGCAAAGACGCAACCAGCGCCGTAAATGTGGGCCTCCCAGGCCAGGCCCCACGTGGCCATAGCGCTGTTCCAGTCCGTGTACAAGGGCACCAACATTGGTGGAGCTGGGATCAGAAAGGGGCTGCTTGACTGGTTGATGACAGTGGCGTTTTCTGTGGGCTTAATGTCCATGTAGGTTGTGGAATCCCACGTGGTGGTGGAGCGATTACAGCCTTCTTTAGCGACGTTGGTTGAGGTGGACATCCAGTCTTCAGTATACAGAAGTATATGAGGAGTTTCAGAGGGAAGGTCTATAAAAAGAAAAAAGTAGAGATGATTCTGGAACATTAATAACTGAATGAGTTTTCATAAAAACAGAGAAAAAGAAAATGCATAAACTTTGAATTGACAGTAGCTGTAAACATGTACGGACACTTTTATATCACTTGAAAATGCACTAATGGAGTTCTAATGAGAATACACAGAAACATTTAATAGTAAAACGATCAGAGTCAGAAAAAAAATGGGCTCGGGCCCAGAATGGGGAAAGTTCTCCTAATTTGCTAATCCTGTGTAAAATCTTGTAAGCAGTTCAAACCAAGCGAGGCCCAAAAGCAGAGGTATGCATGTGTGGCTGAGTGTGGGTGTGTGATGTGAGTGTGTGTGAGTGAGATCAGCCCACTCCGAACCACAAGAGCTAGTTCTTGCGTTACGTAAGCCATCTGGAGTTTCCATGCAGCTATAGTTAATTGTGATTTTGTTAGACATGTTTTAGCACTGCAAAGGAAGTGGCTTGGCTTTGTAAATTAAGGAGTAGCCATGCATATGTGTGTTTGTACAAAATTTGCAGAGACGTCTGCAAAGCTCATCTACCCAGTACATGTTTATGCACTTCAATTACTCGAAAAGGATGTACATAAGGCACTTCACACAGCATAATGCCTCACAGATGGGCAATCAGACAAACATTTTTTCAGCCTTCTAGTCTCTGCATCACTGAGCCCCACATACTGGTGCTTGTTCTTTTTCATAAAGCACAACCGATACTGCGTTCACCATGAAAAAGAGCAAAACAACAACAAAAAAAGAAGGACCCATGCTAACAACGGAAGCTTATAAAGAATATGAATTCAAATGCAGCTGAAGAGAAACAGCTTCTAACTGCATATCAGGGATTTGCACACACACCCAGGATCATTAGTCATTCTGCTGCAGGCTTATCAGAGACAATAACTCCACCATAAAAATCCAGGTGCTAAAAGAGACCACAGAGACAGGGACAAATGGGCAGGATAAACTGACAGCCTATTAAATCACACAGCAGGCAGATTTAATGCAGTGCACACTTATAGATATATTTTGGAATCATTTACGTGTCAGAAAGTGATGTTTTTATTGATTAAAATATTGCCCAAGTTGCAGATAAAAGGCACTCCCACTACTTTTGTCTGCAGCAGTAATTGAAACGCATCTAGCGTTAACTGGAGAATCCATTATATCCGGTGGTAATGTTAAACGCCTGTTTAAGAACATGAATGTGTAGACTTCAGAACCGCAACCCCCCCAAATCTTTGCCTATAGGCCGAAGAGGTCTAATTTGTTTCCTGAGTAAAAATAAAAGCGGAATTCATGTGGTTTTCTGAACTCTTTCTCACATGTCTTTTATGGGTTATATTCTTGCGTTTCCCATCCCACCCTGTCCTGGTCATCTAATTCATTCTTTTGTTTTTGATTTTCCTTCGACTCCCGCCTGCAAACAGGGAAACTCCCATAGGTGGGCTTGTTATTTTTGAACAGGGACAGTTTTCTTTACCAAATCCACTTTTCTCTTTGACAGCCCTGAGTTTTACAAGTCTCTTCCCATGCTTTATTTTTGCGCTTTTCCTGGTGTTTTTCCAAGTATATAGATTCAATGTATGGCAGCTGCAGTTTCTATTACGTTTAATATGTCAGCAGCTCCAGATGGAAATAGCCGTTTTTGGGGTTTTTTTTGCTCTAACGTGAAAACTCCTTTATTTTGTGCTTTCCATAAAACCTGCGTCTATATATGCGTTCATTTTGGGGTGTGAAACCTTGCATTTACATGGATTTGTAAGCTACTTGTGAACAAAGCCATCATCAGATCCCTATGAGGAGAAAAGGACTTTCACAAGCGCTTTAGCAAAAGCGCCTCTCTGCTGTTTGCCTGTGTTTGTTTTGTCATTATTCACATTTATCTCCTGACCTCAGTGCTGAGTCACAGCCCCAGGTACTGATGAAAACATCAAGCCTGAGGAAATACGAGCCCACCGCAGGCTCACTTCTGCATCTCTAAATGTGATGCAGCAGTTTTATTTCACACCCTGAGCTGATCCAGAGCAGCGGGCGGAAACGCAGGGATCGATTTTTGTGAGTGGCTTTGTTTTGTTTTGTTTTTTTTCCACTTAAGTCTTGATGAAGCTTTAATAGCAAGATGCATTCAATGTGGCTCTGTTACACATCTCTCTCTCTCATGATGATGCTGGATTATTAAGAGCAGGAAAGAGATTTAGATGTGCAAGTCTGCAGTCAGCACTTT